CAGGCAACACCACCCTCCTGAAGATGAAGGGTGCGGCTGCTGCTGCTGCTGCTGCTGCTGCTGCTGCAGATCACTGCTCTGTATCACTGAGTGATGTTTTAGGGAAGAGAGTGACTGTGGCTCAGGTCTGGACCGCGGCACGTCCACGGCTCCTTCACTCCATCACTTGTGCAACAGCACGTGCAGAGGCGCGCAGCTGTTTCCCAATCTGGGCACGTAGCAACGCGCCTACGAAAGTGCGCGCAACAGTGAGGGGAGGGGGGGGGGGCATGGGAGACTCACTTGTTCTCTCCCCCTCTCAACCCTTTCCCCGCCCCCTCCTTACATTCACACACACTAATTATTCAGTCAACCTAAAACCTGAGTTTGCAGGAATTTATCAGAACAGTGAAAACACGAAGTCGTGTTTTTTCACTACAGTCCAGTGTTTATCTGCCCTGACGCTGCCCTCTGCTTCTATTCACTTATTTTTCTATTGCAAATGGTTGCAACACGGCGCAACCATTTGCCACACCCAGCAGGTGGCAGTGATGCAAGTCACAGTCAACAACAGATACAGATGTCTCTCTGAGAGTCTTTCTTTAAACTTGACTGACACTGTTGGTTGTTTTTTTTTTTTTTGTTTGTTTGTTTTTTTTGCTGCACTACCAACGCTGGCCAGTAGAAGCAGGGAGCAAAAAACAAAATCAATGGTTATATATGAATCCAAAGTACTTTTGTTTTTGGTTCAGTTCACTGTTTAGTTTATGTCGCGATGTGTTTACAAAAAAAAAAAAAAAAGAATGACTCCCTTGGGTTCACGATCCACACACAGACTCTCGTCAGTGGTTGTCTGTCGTCCACACACTGACCGACAGCCCCTCGTGTTGTTGGTCAGTGTGTGTGTGTAGGAGACCTGCCGTCTCTCAGAGTTCTTATCATTAAAGCTCATGTAGCAGAGCTGCTCCACTGACCGTCGTTATCAACTGGACGTCTCCTCACACCGAGCTTATTATCAAGGGGGAGGGTGTGGGAGTGGCAGGGGGGGGGGGGGGGGGGGGGGTGGGCTCAGCTCGTTAAAGGGAAGTGTATTGAGGAGGGGGAAAAAATCAATTTACTACCAAAAATTTTAAAAGGTCCATAGAGTAAATGTTGTTTAAAGACAAATGGACAAATGGACAAATGTGCTGAAAGACATTAAAAACTGTGCCCTGAAAGAGAGAGAAACATTCTGTAATTTGTATAAAAGTGATAATTTGATCACATTTTAAAAAAAAAAAGAATACATGTAGCTGATTTGAATGTACATTCATTTGGTCTCCAGATCTGACCCGCATGCTAGTGTCCTCTCTGAGAGGTCAGTGTAGGACACAGAACAGAGACAAAAACAAACAAAACAAACCCCTACGTTACCTGAAGCAGCAGCAGCAGCAGCAGCAGCAGCAGCAGCCAATGAGGCTCTGCCTGACGTGTCACATACATTATCTGCTAACAGTTTAAATCTGGCCTCATTTGGACCCATCTGTCACGGTGTGTGGACCACTGTAGTGTAACTGCTTCACATTTGTTTGTTTCAGGTGAACAATAAGGCCGGACAGAGGAGCCGCGCGGCCCCTGCATCTGTCTTTGATTGGGGCCAATTTCGCAGCACTGACTCGGCTGCTGTTGATAAATTAATGAGAGGAAGGGGGGGGGGGGGGGTTGCTGTTGTTCGACCCACTGCGTGCTGTCTTATTAGACACTGTACAAATCAAAGGCTGAAAGTCCTCGACCTCCTTTTGTAAAACTCTAGCAGCGCAGCTAACAGTAGGGCTGTCGGAGCGTTACCAAAATAAAAACAAATCAGTGCAAAAAAAACAAAAACACAAACAAAGCTGTGCTGTGTTTTGCTGACTAATGATTAATATTTACGCTCCATAACCAAAGTAATTGTTTTAGTTTTTTGGTTCAATGAGGAAAACAGTGGCTCAGAGAACGCGGGAGTTAAAGGACAGTTTGGCTTTTCTGGCTACGATAGCACCCCTTTGTGGCCATGTCGATCGCAGCAGCAAAGGTCACACACATTCAGCAGTGTTTCCCACGTTTACGCACATAGATTTTTCCATACTGTGTCCACACAGAAGGACAGAAAGCTAAGCTAAGCTAAGCTAAGCTGAGAACCCGCCCGGCCAGAACGTTACTTCTGACCTGCTGCACGTCCAGGAAGTGTACGCGCTTTTCTGGAAATTGGTTTGGTATGTCGAGAAAGGAAATAGGAGAAGGCAGCTGTGGCTCCAAAGGTGGAGCAGTGGTGCGATAATTGGTGGGTTGTGGTTTGATTCCACACTCTGTTAGTCTGCGCGTCTCCCCTCTGGCACCGCCGGTTGATGCTTTCCCAACAGCAATTACATTCCATTTCCTGCAACACATATCCAGAACTACAGATAGTAAAAACAATTTCTAAGTGGTTGGTGTTTGCCTGAAGATACCATCATTGTTTTTCCTCAGAAAAAAAAAAAAAAAGAAAATCCTAGTTGTGATTTGTTGGTTGCTCTGGTTTCAGTGTCAGAGAGCAGGTTCCAGTGGGAGGTTCTGTCCCTCGCTTCCAATTAAACCCCTTTGAACTTCGAAGAAACAACTGGGCTGAAATAAAAGGGAATTGACATCACTCTGCTGTGAAATTGAGGCAAATATTATTCCTATGAAAAGAAAGTTTTTTCTGTTTTTTTTATTTTTCTCCGTACAAAACATGAATGCGTCACCGTTTCATTCATTTAATCAGCCAAGAGGAAGCTGTGAAGAACCCAGATCTTTTGACTTAATTTTTCTCTATTTCTCTGGTTTTTTTTTTTGGTTTTTTTTTCTGTTTGCGTCATACACCTGAACCTTTCACTCTCAGGTGTCAGACCAGTTAGAATCACATATGAGATTATTTGTCGGTGATGAATCAAAGCTTCTCTTTTTACCGCTAACACTCCGACGTCTCTCGTTTCTATCGAGCGCTCCTGTCGTGTCGATTCTGTTGATCCTCCGCAGCCGCCACTACATTAAATGCAGGTCTTCCATCTCCCCTGCAGTTTTACCCTTTGCCCCGCGACTGCAATGCGTTAGTGCGTGTGTTAGCGACGCGTGACAGCTAAGGTGTTTTCATCATGTGCATCGTGTCAAAGTTCAAGCTTGGAGAGACGGCAGGCTCAGCTTTCATCCAGTGGGTGAAGCCGCGGACGGCGATTTATTATCTCTCTACCACATCTTTACGTCTGCGCCGCTGAGAAAATGTTTTTGTTTTTTTCTCCCCCCGTGTCCGTTAGTTCTATTCTCGCCACTGTTCACCATCCGAGAGCAGGGGGTTCTGGGAGGGATTAACAGTGATCTGATTTAGTCGCTTTTTTTCATGTTTGTCCTTGTCTTTGATTTTTCGATGACTGAAACAGAGAACGTTCAGTGTTAAATCCTGCTGTGAACGTGGGCTGTTGATATTGACTGACTTGTCTGGAGTTCAAGGAGGAGGGAGAAGTGGATTCTTGCCAATAATAAAATAGATTGCTCGATGGCTGGTAAAAAAAAAAAAAAAAAAGAGTTTCCACCAAATAATGCCGTCCGATCGCACAATCACAGTAAAAAAAAAAAAAAAAAAAGAATTTCCACCAAATAATGCCGTTCGATCACAGGTTTTAACCTGAATCTAATTACATGATTAATCACAATTGATCAGATCAATTATTTTTTGTTATTTATCATAATTAATCATGATTATGACATCACTGAATGTGACCAAATATGTCACAAAAAGACATAAAACACAACTATTGTTTTTATTTGTGACCAATCAAAATAAGGGAATTATTAATATGGAAAAAAATGCCAAGAAAAATAGAAAAATAATTATATAACTGAAACTTTGGCTTCAAAGGTTGGTGGATTTTAGTAAAATATTTATTATATTTATCAGTTCTTTTATATTTATTGACAGTCTTTAGTCAAACGTTGCCTGGTGAGTTGGTTTAACAAACATCTGGTTCGTTAAACCGTGTCGAATCACTAACATTAAGCAGCGTTTGTGAACTTTTTTTTTGGCATGTCCATCATTCTGGCCCCGTCTGTACGTGGGTGGGTGTGTTGTTAGGCATCTGTGTTTTTGTGTGTATTGGCAGAATGTGCTCAAAGTGTGGGTTAGGTCACTGAACGTTGCACTTTCTGAAAAAAACTCTTGCCAAAGTGAAGACCTCAGCAGAGCCTGGAATAGACGAGGAAAAACAGAGTTGGTTCGCTGCTCACGTTCGTTCCTGCTTCCTATTAAACAGGGAAACTGTGTGGGTGCGCTGCGACCTCCGTTCTTAACACGCTAAAAATGTTAATGTTAAAGGTTAGCCAATAAGGGGGTAAAAATCCCGAGCCGCGGCCGACTTAATGGTGTTCCAAATTGCTCTTGAAATCCAAAAGAGTTCAGAGTGGCTGTTAGTTTTGGCAGAAGACAAATTGAAGACAGACATTTTTTGGCATTCTGAGAAAAACAGCGCTGCTGCAACTTCTGCGATTCACACCTAAAGCTTCGGTTGCCATGGCGTAGAGCCAGCGTTTTCACCCGCCGGGTGGAACACGGAGCAGATTTGATTTTTCTGGTTATGCTGTTTGGAGTGGTCACCACGAAAAATATGTGTTTTATATCAAGCACATGTAATATTTGATGTGGATT